GCTGCAAGAAACTCAAACCAGATAGAATCAATACACAGCAAAATAACTTAAACTTCCACGCAACTCAAAAGCCTAGCAACTTCAGCAGTCTCCAGAGAAGCCTGAATGGTGTCAAACTCATCAAACACTCACCTCAGTACCTGTATCACTTTACCCATTCCAGATGTCATTAACTCAACTTTGAATACTTCCCCCGTGAGCCAAAAGCACAGCCAGGAGGCGGGTAGCTGCAGCACTGCCGGAGGGATGTCCCTTTCTCAGAACAGGTGGTGATGAAAACCCTTTTGAGCTGTTCTGCGCTCCTTGGAAACACATTAAACTAACAGTCCACAACCTCCAGAAGACAGATGAAGCATTTTTAGGATTGAGCCACTTCCAGCAAACTGACTGAGCTATAAGTGGACAAAGCTAAAGGAAGATATTCATAACGAAGGTAGAATTTTGGGCTCTGCATAATATAGAATATAGGCACAGCAAGATGCATGAGCTGAAACACACTGGTCTGGTTACAATCAGAGGACTGCATAAGGCAGGCATGAATCTCAGATGAGCTCAAGGCTAGCTAAAAGGAACCTTTTGATGAGCTATACATACCCTCTTTCTCCAACTATCTTGCCTTTTTTGTACTTTAAACAGTTACCTAATTCAGGCTAGATAATTTATGTTAAGAGCATCTAGGTTTACCTTCACTGAAAACATACTCTGAATGCTGCAGTCAGTCATTACTGTTTTCTTCCTTAAGGTCTTTTAAATAAAAATGCATTCTGAAGCATCCCCAACAGAGTGAAGAAATTCTAGAAGAAATCAATTTCCTTTAAAAGGTACCAATATTATCCCAAGTTTCTAAGCATTAGGTTCTACTATGTTCATAGGCATAACAAAGGTCACATACACGGCTGGAAGGAAGTTTAAGCAAGGATGTTTCTAGAAAAATGACTTTGAGTTGATCGTAAGGTAAGAATCTAGTGGTGAATCAAATGTACTTTGTCAAAGACAAAAAATAAATCTCTGGGAATCAAAGTGCCCCATTGTCCAATGCATTTCCATTAGGAATAAATCAGTGTAAACAAACCCCAGAAAATGCAACAGTATTCAGACAATTACTACATATTTTTGTTTGTCACTTATAGACATTTTCTTTCCTGATTGCATTACAAAATAACCTTTTAAATATCTGAACTCAGCATTCTTGGATTAAGCTTCCGCAAGCCTTGACCCCAAATTTACACTGCTTAACAGTAAGTATTAATGCACGGTGCCTGTTATTCTGTCATTTTGTTGAATAAGAGTCAAATCCGCAAATCTCAAGTACTTCCAACTCCACATAAAGTCAGTAGGATCCTCAGGGGTACAGGAACCCTTTGAAACTAATGTTTAAAATTGCAAAGCAAGACATCCAGCTGTTGCAAGCAGTTAAAGATGTTAATTTGGTGACCTGCGCTGCATTACTTTGCAGTTTTTAAGCTACGTTTCTTCATTAAAGAATAATTTTTACGTTTTCCTGAGCACAAACCAGGAATATTCAGCAACCGACCATATGATAAGTGACTGAGAGCTGATACACATTTATGTTAGTGCTACAGTAGGTTTTAATCCAAAGCATGTGTTTATTTGCAAGGTCCAGCTATAGAGGGATGGCCTGTATCTCAGAGGTCATGTCAGTGAAGCTTAGAGCAGCTGCTCAGCTTTTCCCAGAAGTGCGTCACACAGGGAGACGAAGAGCTACTCCACAGCACAACAGATAACCTCTGATGCAATGTATTCCTGCTCAGTAGCATCTAGTGCTTGTCATCACAGGGTTCTAAAACAGAGTGAAACTAAGCATCTAGTGTAACACATATGTAACATAGTAATTCTTATTAGGGAGTAGTTACCCCCCAAAAAAGACTATTTTATTGATTTCAGAGCAGTAACTGGGAATAAGGGTTTCACCAACAGGCTTATAGGCAAGGTTTAGAAAAGAACTGACCAAACATTCATTTGTTCTGCAGGGTCCTATAATCTTGGAGAGGTGGGAAATTTGACTTCAGCAGTAAGCTTCTCCCCCTGAGGTTCCTTGAGCAGTCTTTAGGATTCCAGATATGCAGACTCATAAGGACAGGGAATTCTCTTGAGTGCTCACCTGTTTCTGTGCCTAACAAGATAACCACTGGTGCCAAAGACCTATAACTGTCTGGTTTTGTGTTATTTCCATCACCTTGATACAGAATATTTTCCCCATGGAAATGCCTTGCCCAGCTGTGGATGGAAGACCCAGCACAAAAGCCTCCTATACTCTTAGTGGCAGGCAGGCAGCATGACATGGGGAACCCACTGCAGATACCTCACTGCGTAGAGAGGTGCATGGAAGAATTCCCAGGGCAATAGCTGCTGTTCCCAGTGCAAGAAGGAGAAAATCATGTTACAAATCAGAAGCTCACT